TAAAAAAGTTTAATGTTAGTATATTATTAATGTAAAAATTATATTCTACAATATATAAAAAAATATCATATATATATATATATATATATATATATATATATAACATACTTTTTTTCATATTATTACTAATATAAATTTAAAAACTTTTATTTAAGATTTTCGTTTAACTTATATTCAATGGTTATAATTTATTATTTTATTAATTATTAAATATAAATTAAATAAAAATTACTGATCAAATATATAAAAGTATGTTATTTTATTAACTTTTTTTCTAAACTTATGAGTTAATTTTTTAATTCCTTAATTTATTAGGGGCTAAATTTAAATAAAATATTTTTATAAATTAATTTCAAATATAATAACTTTTATAAAGAATTATTTGAAAAACATTGTGTGTTAATTAATTATGATAAAAATATGTAATATAGTATGACTGAATTATAATTCGATTAGTAAACTTAACACTTAACATACAAAGATTAATAATATAAATACTAAAATCTTATTGAAGTGTATTTATATTATATTACAATGGAGTCATTGTGGCATGTAAAACGAGATGAATGGGAAAGGAGAAAACAATTAGGGATGGTATCTGTTGGTGCCTCCATATTGTCTGTCAATTGTCCACGACAGTGAAAGCTACAGCACAAAGCTGCCCCTTGTATCTATATATATTCATACATCTAAGGTGGGATTGTGCCATGAATTGGAGCTTACAATATACCCTCAAAACCAAACAAGAAGAAGAGGAACATGCCTTGCCTCTACATCACCACCAACCTTAACTTAGATGGACTTGACACTGATCCCATCTTTTCTGAAGTCACCACTGCTGTCTCTACAATCATCGGCAAACCTGAAAAGGTAACTGTCAGCCTTCATTTCCCTCTCTTTATCACAACTGCACTTACGATTCTGTGAATTTGGTCAGTGATTGGATCAGCTCATTTCATAAACATATTGATTATTTCCGAAGTTTTCTTAAAAAGTTAGTGAAGTAAAAATTTTTTTTTTTTTCTAAATGAACTGATCCATGCATATATTTGGTCCTTAGCTTTGTAAAGATCTTTGTTGGTGTTGAAACTAAGCAATTGATGCTTTCTTTGCATTGGGAAAGTCAACAAGATATATACTAAGAAAATTTTTCACACGGATTTAGGTGTCGATCATTGGTTTAGTAACTCGCTATCATGTAATATTTGGGACCTGGGAAGCTTTGGAATGGGATGAGGGCATTAATATATAAACTGTTTTTTGTGATTGTCATACAAAATCAGATCTAAGTAATAATATTTTAGAGTTATCATGATTGTAGAGGGTGAGTTTCTTATGTAACGGGACAACTTTGGCCTGAAGAACAAATTAAAATGATAAAGTTCTACGAACTCTGAAGTAATAAATTGATACTAGGACACCATGGATTCTTCCATTCTTTCCGACGTTCGAATCACGTGTGAAAAGGGGATAGATAGTGGAAAAGGTGGTGTGTTACAATTTGCACTTCGGAGGCAGCAGGCTCACCTTTGTCCCTTTAGTTTGTGTGGGACCCTGGCACCAACACCACTATTATTTGTTTATTAAAAGAAATTTATATTTATATGATAAAGAGAGACATAAGTTGAAGAAATGAAGTATAAAGATAAAATAGTTGAAGCGGTTAAAATATAATATTGTAATTAGTTTATTAAAATTAATAAATGAATAAAATTGGTGTTCAATCAAAAAATATAAACTGTAATTAATCCTTGGTTTCCGTCAAAATCTTTATTATTTAATCAATAATACTAATCTACATTAATTTATTAATAATTTAATTATTACGATTTTATTATTCAAATTTGATATTTTCACTTTTTTCATCGTGAATAGTAAAGTGAGGACATTTTTATTTTACATATTTGTGGCAGTAAAATTAATCTCGATCTCTTTCAAAATAACATCTCATGATTTTTCTTTTACACTTCACATTTTTAAAAAAAAATAAAATTAAAACGAGCATATTAAAATTTATATTTCTTTCTCATTCAAGCAATGACTTAAAATCGATGCAAAAAGTAATATAAATGCATCACAACAAGCAAAAGAGGAAAAAGGAAGGATTAACATGATACCTACATAAAATATGTGGTTTCCCATTGTTCTTCAGAATGAACGGAATAGTGCTAGAGCTGGCTAGCACTATAAAAAATCAGCACTAGCCATTCCTCAATTCTGGGGTCTTTAATGTGACATTTTTATTTATATTGTGAATATAATTGTGCAGTTTGTGATGGTGATATTGAAGTCCTCAGTGCCAATATCATTTGAGGGTAACAAAGAACCAGCTGCGTATGCTGAGATAGTTTCAATGGGTGGCATAAATTCAGAAGTAAAGAGGAAATTGATTGCTACCATTGGCACCATATTGCAGTCCAACTTGTCAATCCCAAGAACACGTTTTTTCCTCAAAGTTTTTGATACCACTGCATTTCGTACGAACTCCAAAATGTGATGCATGCATCTAGATTCAGATCACAAGCCCTAAGAATGTGCTTTAATCATCAACAAGCATTTTAAACCAATGTACTTTTTCCTATTAATAACCTCATGTGCTCTCCTTTATTTTTGGGGTGCAAAAATAGAAGTTCTACTTGATTTGAGTTGGATATCTATGCAAAGTTAAGTTCCTGCAACTTTTCTATCGGTTTTGGAAGTGTGTTAAGAGCATATATTAAGAAATTAATAAAAGTAAGTTTTTTTTTATTCTACTATTTAATATTATTAATGCATTAAATTTTATAATATTTTACTATTTTAGTGAAAATTTATCATACCTAAATTCTTATTAGGCACGCTTAAACATACTATTAAAAATACCATTTAATTTAAACATTAAGAATACATTCTATACTTTTTTATTTTATTAATTTAAAATATCAAAAACTAGTAAGATTTTATTAAAAAATAAAATATTTTTTACACTTTATATTTTTAATATAATAAATGTCTTCTTTTAAATACAAAATTAATTTTTAAAATACTTAAAATTGGCTTGCAAAATTGAGATTAATAATTTTTTTTACTTTTTACTAATAATTAATTAAACATCATCAACTATATTTAAAACAAAAAGTTTCACGTATTATTAATCATTAAATAATTCTAAATAGATTATGAAGTTTTTCTCGTAAGATTTAAATACAACTTATAAGTATGTTGTACATTACAGTGGTGTTTTAAAATAGAAGTAAATTATTAAAAATAAAAACTAAGAAATACTGAAAAAGTAATTTAATGATAAAAGTAATTTTTAATAATAAAAAATATATGTATTTAAAACTTTTATCTTTTAAAATTAATAAAATATGTAGTATAATTGACAAAAGATTAATTTTCTATGACTTGAAGGTATCTCATTAAAACTAAAGTTTATTTAAAAAAAAAATTGTGTTCACTAATTAGAGGATATAATAAAAATAAATTTTGTTGGTCGAATATGTTTACCAATACCAAATTATGTTTGATTATTACTCAACTTTTCTACCTATAACATGCTTACTTTTAATTATCATATGATATTGTAAAGTATTATTTCCATCTATAAAGATGGAAAAAATTTATTATTACCTCTTTACAAGTTAGCATTTCTAAGAATTTCTTATACCTGAAAATTAGTTTTATTTTTTCTACCAAATGTGAATTTTTATTTTATTTTTATGTCACTTTCTTAGTGAAGTGAATTTTTTTTTTATTAAATACAATCTAATTAAATATTTCATTATAAAATTTAATGTTCTTCTAAGAATACTTAAAAGCTTTAAATATTTATTTTATCTTATATTTTAATGAATTTTTTTATTTTAATTTCTTCAAATGAATTTTTTTATTTTAATCTTATATTTTATTTTATATTTTTAATCTCTATTGTTGATATGACATACTAAAATGTTAAATGTCATTTTTATATTAGACTAACTTAGTTAAAAGAACTAAAAAAATTAAAAAAATTGGAGAGACTAAAATAAAAATATTACTAAAATATATTAATTAAAAATGTTTTGTGTTTAGGGTTTAATTCATATATTACTAAAATATATGTATTTAGACAATTTATTTAGTCATAAAAAAAATGTTACTTATGATTAGTTTTGTGTTTTTAATTTATTTAGACAATTCAAATTTCAAATATTTCAATGCATGATTCAAAAATTCAGATCATTCATTCAACATATCAAAGTTTAATCTAATCACATATTTAATAATAAAGTTATAATTAATAGAAAATAAAAATAATCTAAAATATTATTTTTGAAGTGTAGTGTAAAATATGGGATGGGTTTAAATATGGAAAGAAAGAAAGAACACACTTATGAGATTATTGAGAACATAAAAAAATATTAAGTTTTATGTCAATTTTAAAACTTCCACTTCATTTGCAAACTAACAAATATTGTATTGAACATATGCTAGATAGTCATTGATAATTTTTTTTTCTTTTCAAATTTCTTAATTTAGAGATAAAGATGACAAAATTGAAATAAAAAAAAAATGAAGTTCTGACTTTTTATGCAATTTTGGCTTAATAGTTTTTTTTTTACCAAATAAAAATTACTTTCTTATCTTATTTTATTTAAGTGAACATTTTAACTTAAACAAAAAAATTATTTTTTGGTTATCTAGCTTAAACTAACAAAAAAAATCATTTAAACAAAAATACACTCACAACTTACAGTTAACGTGCGAAGCTGCTGAAAATACGTATACTACGATTTCTTAGATGCAGATTAAGAAAAAGTGGGAAAAAAGGTCACTTTGCACTGTCAGCATATGCAAGTGATAATGACGATTTGAGTAGGACTTGCGCGCAAATTGATGCGTCAAAAGACCTTTATACTAATCAATAATCATTTTCCCATATCAGATGGAGTTTCGGTTACTGTTAGTTAATTGTCGATCAAATGCTTCTTTTTTATTTTCTGTTTATATTTTTCATCTTCTGCTTTGGTTTTTTATTTATATTTTTAAAACGTACATCAGATAGAGTGATTAAAGATTAGGTTTAGAAAAATAGAGAAAAAGAAAAACTTAAAGAAAGTTACAAGGAATAGGTGGCTGCTCATGTTCAAGCGTGCGCAGGCTAAAAGTTATTAAAGATCGGTCTTAGAAAAACCAACTCAATTTCATATATAAACAATTATGACATCATAATTCATCCATGGTTCAATTCATTGCATGTAATCATTATGGACTCGAAAATTCTTCAGCGAATAACTGCTGATTATAACTTTTCGGTTTTAACTTCAACATACAAAGTCAACAAGTATTTGGTGGAGCAACAATACTTAATTTTATAATCTATAAGATGAAAGCACGGTACTATTTTCCTCCATACATAAATAATTTACATTTTTTATTTTTATTTTTTCCATCCAAATTTTAATTTCTAAACTGAGTGACTATTTTTTCTTTCTAAATTTATTAAAGAATCAAACACTAAATTTTTTTAAAAATTAATTGCTACTTTAGTTATTAAATAATTATTTTTAAATATTTTCAATTATATTAATTTAATTTTTAGTCTCTAAATTAATTACTAATCATGACCAAATAATCAGTCAGTAATTTAGCCGTTGAAAGATAAATTAAAATTTATTAAAAAGAATCATACATTCTTATGGTCTCTAAACCAACTGCAAGAGTGAATCGCTAAATATGTTGTTAAATAATGAATAATAGTGAAATATAACATGGGTGTTTATATGGAACAAGCTCAAATTTCAAGGTTATGCTACGTAGTCATTAGTAAATTGGGTCAATTTTTAATTCATAATTTAATAAGCCCTTTGTCTGAGTTTTTTTTTTTTTATTATTATGATTTTTTAATAAAATTACTAAAATATGATATTTTTTATAAAATTATTTAAATATGATTTAAAAAAAAAAACACCAACGGCAATTTTATAGTGTAAAAAAAATTTAGAAAGAAAAGTTGTCATCGACAAATTTAAAGGAGAAAAAGTATAGAAAAAAATATCATTTGTGACCTTCTAATGTAAACAAAAAGCTTTTAAATTTTTAAAATTTGCTAATGGTGATATTTGACCAATGAAATTTTTTTAAAAATATAATAAATCGTCATTGGCAATTTTTAATGAGTAAGACTACAAATACTATAATCTCAATTCATAGCAACTTGTCCTTAAAACCATTTGAAACATTTCTAAGTGAGTGTCTTCAAATCTTGTGTTTATTAGAAATAAAATGAGTATGGCACTTGTAATTTATTTTAATGGTGAGATTATAACAAATACGAATAAATGTGTAATATTTGCATGTGAGAAGTCAACATGTGTATATATTCTATATAATATATCATTTGAATATTTAAATTATTGACTTTATTAACATGTTCATGAAGTTTTGTTTCCAAAAATAATAAAAAAGTGTTATGTATCAAGTGACAAAATTTGGTGGTTTTATGCAATATCATACAATTCAAATAAACAAAGATGATAATGTTCAACAAATATTTCAGATACATTAGCAACGTCATCCTCCAAGTGGTATGATTGAGTTATATGTTATTTTAAAAAATAATGAAATTCAAGAAGAATTTGCGAGCACCATGCTATGAATCGAAACACAACAATAATAAAAGTGATGACTATGACTTTGAAGGAGACTATCAAAGTGATGAGAAAAGCGATGAAGATTTTGATGCTATGAATGCTTATGAGTTTCTAGAGTATAGAAACTTAGGTATGTGAAATCTTTAATTATGCTAGTGAGATTAATTTTAGTTTTGTTAATTAGTTTTTATTCGCTATTAGTAAGTAACACGAAGATATATAGTAAATTGTATGTTGGAATGCAATTCAATGACAAAGAAGCTGTTATAAAAATAGTAAAACATTACAGTATATCAAAAGGAGTGGTGTAACAAGTGAGTAAGATCAAGCTGAGCTAGTTGCTGATATAGACACACGTGGTAATGATGACATTAAAGAGAGGCAACATTAGTTAGTGAGAAAATACATGTGAAGACCAATATGAAAAGTGTGGTAACAAGAAAGAGTGTGCGAATCAAGAGGGAGAATGTCTTATTGAGAGGATATATGAAATGATGGGGCATGAGTGTGATATGATATTCTTTCTGATAATTCTTCCTCTCTCTAAAAACTTTTCTCTCTTTTGTATCTGTTCTTAACTTGACTCTCTTTGATCATTGCTTCAAGAGCTCAAGCTGATTCCTCTTGTAATTCTCACTGTTTCTCTAATTCTATCTCTGCATTATTTCTATTTTTTATATTTAGATTTCATTAGTAGTCTTGTTACAACATTTGAACTCAAATTCTGATATGTAGACATTATATTGTTTCATTGATGCTTTTATTCTCCTCCATGGCTAAGAACACCAGGTTAAAGGAATTACAGACCGAAATGCGTACTCATGGTGAAGAGCTTTGTTGAATGATGGAACTCTTAGATTTGCATGACCAAGCTCAATGTAATCAT